GTTTGTGGTGCCTATTCTGTACTGTAGGGCATTATATACGATATCCGTAAGCCGGGCTCCCTGTGGATAAACTCGATTGTTAACACTTATTTTCTCATGTTACCCGTAATTTTTTAGGTGCTTTCATGTTGTTTTAAATTGTTTCGAGATATTTTCAGGTAATTTCAGATGGTTCCTTGGGGGTTTCAGATTGTTTCAGGTGGTTTCATCGGTGGTTTCATTGGTGGTTTCATCGGTGGTTTCAGATGGTTTCAGGTGGTTTCAGGTGATTCCAACTCTTAGTAGCTACGGTTATTTCACTCTCATGTCTGGTAATTGCTCTATGCAATTTCATTTCTGGACAGTGCTTTTTATCACTAATTCTTTCCAGTTAAAATGCAAGCACTCACATATTCATATACTTATTCGTATTCTTTACTTTCTCAGTTGTCAAAAATATCACCCTAACCACTGATGAAACTAAAAAGGTAGAATCTGTGGTAGACTCCATTTTGGATACTGCAAGTACACCTGTAGGTCAATCAGCAGTGTTATCCCAAGGTAAACCTATCCCCTAGGCCCTCCATGAGCTTGCCTTTTCATTTCCAAGGGTGCATATTTAACTTCTTGGACAGCTTAAATGTTCCTGAAATTTTAAAGGTATCACCCATAACAAGTTTGAAAGCAATGTTGCTTTAATTGAAACAATTTTCTTTTTAGTGTGACTTTTTATAAGTGCACGACTCCTGTTATCTTTGACTTCTCCCTGAGCCTGTTGATGTCAAACATATTCCACATTGTAGCTAGGGCTGCCTAATGATTTTTAGATTGGTTTAATAGATTTGCCTTATTATGATATGCTACCATACCATTTCATTAGCTTTTATTTTTACATTTGAAGTGCCCAAGGGAAAAAAACTCTCCTAAAATTTTTTCTTGCCCACACTACAGGAAATGAAGACATTTTATCTCAAGCTAACTCAGCTACATTACTAGCTGACTGTGCAGAGGAAGCACCGACATCTTGCAATAAAGAAACTGGGGGAAAAAATGCCTGCAGAAATGGTCCTGTGGACATTTTTTATTGTTCAAGGCAATGGATTTATTGACAAATGGAATCTCCTTTTCCGGTATGTGAACCTTGGTTAATCTTCTTTCACTATATATAGCTGTTTTGAAATGTTGCAATTTCCGCATACATATATATGTATGAGCTGAGTCATGTTTCCCTGGACAGTTATCTTTTTAATAATAACATCACCTTTTGTGGGTGCAGATCGATTGTCAAGTTAAAGATAGAGTTTCAAATAGACACAAACAGTATCACATTAAAAATATGTTGCTACTGCTTTGACTTAGTAGAGTTGATTTGATTCATCTTTGAGCCAGTCAAGCAGAGTTTGCATTTTATGTACTTTAACTCAGGTGTACATTTCTCTTACCTGTACTTATACAGTTAAACATGTAAAATTGGACCTCAGTGTAGGTTTAGCCATGCCTATGATTATTGAGTCATGAGAGTTTTGTTGTCTATGCTACTTTCCCTTAAGTTAAAGTGGAGGTATCAATATTATTTAATGTTTTCTTATGAAGGGTTATATATTTATTTCATGCCAACAGGTCAGAGAGTCCATCACAAGCATTTTTTGATCATAATTAATTGGCTCTTAATTGTTTTGAAGGCCTTATCACCATCTTCTTGGGGTGATATATACTTGACATATATGACAACATGTGTCATGTTGATGGCATGAAAGCTGCTCCCAAACCATTGCCACTACCACCACCATTTGACAAAATGTGGTCTGGAATAAACAAACTCATAGATAGTTTGCACCTCAAGAACCATAGAGATCCACCATGAGTGCAGGACAAATTACAATCCAGGCCAGCTGAAGGAGGAGTTGCCAAATGTCAACACTATGGCTGAGTAACACCTTACCAAGTTTTGGCCTGGACCTGCATGGTTCCCTGAAAGGGGCAGTGCCAAAGAAAATTGTAATTTGTTTGTTCTGTAATAATATGTGATTCAACTTGTAAATTCAGTTCTATATTATGCAAAGCTCATTACATTTTGCTTTTTCCTTAAACCATGTCTGTTGATAACAAGTTTAATAAGAAAGCTGTGTAAAGATGAGGCAATGAAAGCTAATGAAGGAACCAAATTACTCTATTGCTAATTTCCCAGTTTCCCTTCATTCTCAAACATGACAAACATCGATTATCAATAGATAGTTAAGAGAAAAGGTTGTGTGGATGAATGAAGTAATCATCCAAGAGAAAAGAATGCTTTAATCTACTTGTTCTGTGGTAATTTAGAGATAATTTTGGTGAATTGGTATGTGGATATTTAGGGGTTTAAAGTGTAATCTTGAGAGAAATTCATCTCTCTTATCCCCTTCCACTACACTCACCATGGGTCGTCTTTTGGGACTCTTGTCAACTTTAGACACTGCAAGTGGAAGAACCTGTTTCCTGGACACTGTTGGGAAAGGGTGCACCGAAAAATCAAATAGTTTTGGTGGCAATGATTCTTATCATTACTGCTCACGTTTCTAAGTAGCTGCACTTAATTTGCTTAGTATCTGCATATTATGACCTTGCCTGATTTAACTATGAATTCCACTCCCCATTGTGTGGAAACAAAATTTATTGTGATCAAGGATTGTCATTTATGGGTTTTGGAATGACTTTACCCAAAATTAGTTATATACAAAAGCAACCTTCACTTTTCTAGAGAGCTTAACATTAGGATCAGATGCCTGCTATGTGATGTTTTTAATGTATTAATGCATTTTGCAGTCTTACAGAAGTTATATTTACCTTTTCATTTTTCTTTCGTTTTCAGTTCTCACACACCACCATGTTGTCTCTTCATTTTGTGATCTTTCCTGGAAACAGTTAAAGGATTTCTCCAATAATTTTTTTACCTGGTTTCTGAATAGCATTAATAGTATAGAATTGCAATTTTAGTTTTACTTGAATATTAAACTACCCTTTTTATTGATGTCTTGAGCACTCAAATGTAAACTTGTTAGGAATGTGCCAGAAAGAGCACAGTTTTAATATATTCCCATGAATTGTACAATGAACATCCTATCTGCAGTGTTATGAAAAGACTGGCCTTCTGTTCTGCTTCCTTCATGTACTCACCTGCTTGCAGACACAATATTTGTATCCGCTTCCTGAAAGAAATAAGAAACAAAATGGTTGTTTCAACAATTAAGTTTCAACACAGTTACATCTTGTCACATCATAAATTTAATATATTTATTGTGTAAAGTGGGTTCTGCATGATTTTTAAAAACTATCTGGGCCCAGGTTTTCAAAGGCTGATTAGCACAAATCCAAGGTTAAATTTTAATCCGCATTTCTTTATTCCTTTGTGCAAAAGTCTTTTCGAATTAATTTTCTCTATTCCTTTTAGAGCATTATAACTATATTCAAGACAAAAATTAAGAATGATACTAAATTTCTTGTGAAGCTTTCAGATCTGAGATCAGATTTCACACCAACCATGGGTTAATTCCTAACTCAGCTTTGAACAACCTGTCTGAGGTTAATATAATTTTAAAGCAGAAATGACATTCAGTACCTGGTATTTTGGCAGGGTTTGACAATTTGCTATTCAAGCCTCCACACACTGTGTTTTCTATGTTATTGTCTTCTATGGCTCCTAATTCCACTGTGAAAAAGTGAACATTTGCTAAGTTAAAGTGATGCTTTCTAAGTTCTGGTCTATTACTGGTTACAGGCTTGCAAAACTATTTTTAAATATTGTCTTACTTTCATTATCTGCATAAAAGAGGTGTGAATTGTATATGTGTACCCTCAGGGTACAATTAGACAATGCATGTGTTGTCACATTTGCCTTTTTTTTTCACTTAAATGAAATTGGTATAGTATACATTGATTATTACTCCACGTACCATCTAAACTAATACCACTGTCATTTGGCCCTTTTTGATCAGGTAGTTCTGTTGCATTTCCTTTTGCTGCAGTTGACGCTAGTGAAGCATGGGACAGGGGAGTAGAGGCCAGCAAGGTAAATGCATCAAGTTGAGATGTAGTTGGTGCTGGTGAGGTTGGTGCTTGGGCCAGTGAGGAACTTGCAGCAGGCTGAGGTGAAAATACTGCTGGAACATCCAGGGATGCCTTGTTTGGAGTCAAGGTGGTAAGTGTGACAGAGGATGGTGATGTTTGTGATTGCAGGGGATGCAGAGTAGGGGCCAGTAAAGTACGTGCAGCAGGTTCAGTTTCAGTTGGTGCTGGCACAGCCTGGCATGGTGGGTTTGGAGCCAGAGTGATTGCTGCTGTGGGTGGCGAGAGTGGAGGTTGTGCAGCCAGGGGTGGTGGATGTATAGTCTCATCCACTGCAACTGGGGAAGATGGATTTGTAACCACTGCAGCTTTTGGTGGTAGAGTTTGACTCACTGGCAGTGGTGCTGATGCAGTGCTTGTTGCTATTCCAAATGCTTAAAGATTAATTGAAAAATGTCACATGGCATTTAATAGTTTTGATCATTTTGTAATATTTTGCATGAAAATTAAACCTGATATAAAGTCTGTTTCATGTACCTTCACAAAAAGATTCCAATGTAAAGGGTTGAAATGACCTCCATTTCAAAACGATACAGCTCTTGGGAACGACTGCCACCCCGCCAGCACCTCTAGTAATGGTTCTGCCATTTGAGAACTTATTAAAAAATTGTTTTTTTTCACCTTTTCCTAACCCAATGGCTAAACTGTGGATTTCCTGCCGTATGCGTTCTTCAGGAGGGGGGATTTCCACCGTGTTGTTTAATGAGGGCTAGCAGCCACTTCAGGGAGACAGCAACACCATTGAACCCCTGGTTCCCATGTGATTTCATTTTGAATGACACATTTGGATTGACACAAGTTAACAACTAAAGAAGAGGAATCCCTTACCGAATGGACAGATATGTAAAGTATCTGCAACTATCTGTCTCATATCTGTTACAGTACTGCACAATGTCTGTAATGGTTTTATTCATATCTGCAGCATAACTGCAATTATGTTTGCAGATATTTCACAGATATGTGGGGACTTCTTTCAAATATCTGCAAAGTATCTGAGGAAATTGACATATATTTAACATATATGTAGGTGATCAAACAGAGTGAGTTAGAAATCGAGGACCTGCCCATCTTTTAAATTGTCATCATATGTCATGATATTTGAATTTCCCCTACTAGGAGACAATAATTTATTTGATTAAATGCTGACCAAAAATTGAGTGTCCAAACTACCAAACTTTTAAACAATTAATTGTGCAAACCTACTAAGATCTCTATGGAAAATAGCATACTGAATGAGTGACATGAAATAGTTTGCAAAAGGGGTCTTCTCAACCATGTCTTTAAAAATCCTCTTTATTGTGGTATTTAACCTTGTGTCCTTCAACAAGAACAAATACTGATTACAACTGTAGGGTCCAGAAAAAAATTCACACAACCAATATTCTATCTGTACATCAATTTACTTGCTTTGCAAATCTAACATGAAAACAGCTCAAGCTTTTAATAAACAAGTGGGTCACTGTTTTCTTTAAATGTGTTTAGCTTACTTGGATCAGCTGCCCCGCCATTATCGATCGCCAACTGAACCTATATCTGGAATTATTTCATTACTGTTCGGATCTTCTACGTTTTCATAAACGTGTGAAGGAAGTTCTTCATAATTTTGTACTTCGACGCAATCTACAAGTTAGCCTGAATCAAAAACTGTGTCCTGCAGTGTGAATCCTGACCATCCATTTTCAGCTGTTGAAGAATTCGAAACCACCGATCCATTCGAACCATCGTTGTGATCTTCAAAAGGGGTGACGCTATATCAACACGATCTCCTTCCGGAATGAAGGATTATCATAACTTCTCAAATGTGTCAAAATGAAGTATGATCATTCAACATCGAAATGACCGTGAGGCCAGTGAACCCTGGGTACCAGATTGAGAGATGATTTTCCCGGGTGATTTCGATTTCTTCGGTGCTGTCGTGGGGGGTGCCCTAAAGAGCGTTTGCACATGACGTCACAAATTTCGCGGGAAAGTTGAGTCGCCATGTAGGTGTTCCACATTTTTCAACATGGCGGGATATCCTCTCTCAGATTATGCGAACACGCTCGATCCCCACGTGAAAAAACGTTATTTAGAGAAGATTTCTTGTGTTGGAATCGATCCTCTCTTGTTCTCAGACAAAAAATACGATCCAGAGTGCCTGCCTCTGGTCGAATCGATGGATTTATTGTTGTTTTTGGTGATTGACACGAGTTATTACAGTAAAGACTATTTTAAGGCGTATAGAAGTCTACAGAACATGGTTGTAAACATGAAAGTGTTGCTATTGAAACTTATGAAAAGATCATGAAGGAAAAGCACATCAACTTTCAGGTAACGAAATGTGGCACGTTTATCAATAAACAATATCCATGGTTACATGCCACACCTGACGTTTTGTGTAGGTGTGATTGCTGTGGGAATGGATGTGGGGAGGTCAAAAGCCCCTATTGTTTAAAGGATATAGACTTGGAGCTGTATATTAACAAATACAACTCATGCCTACTTTTACC